CAGGCCAATACTGGCTCTTCTTTGCTTGTTTGTACGTGTTCGGAACTGGAATGTCTTATTTCGTATTGATGACTGATCCCACAATGTACTCCCTCAGATGTGCTGGCGGCTTCCTCGCGCGGCGAGAAGCCGTGTCACGGCTCTGCATGACATCAGGCACCACCTTCGGAGGCTCGTAGTCGTCACCGGACGTCTCTGCATCCGACCGCAGTCGACGCTTGCGCTTGTCCTTGGACTTGACAGCGCAGCTTGGCTTCACTTGGTCTGTTGACACGGACGACGGCTGTACGCCCTTTTCTGGCTCTTCCACTTGCTCATAACTGGCTACTAGATCAGGTTCACTGCTTACTAGTACAGGCTGGGGCAAGACGGTCGATCTTGGTAGATCACCGGCTTCGGGAAAGAGCCGATTGGTAAGTGAGCTAACAATTGACACGACTGGTATCTCGACAGGTAATTTCACATTGCCATGCTTGTAGGTATTCAATAGGAGCTGACGAGCATAGGCTTGAGAAGCAGTGAAGCGCTCATGACAGAACACATTGCCACTCCGTTTCTGCAGCACACTGCCGGTTCGCAGGTCCAGCAGTTTGAATCCTTTCATATCCGTCGAGTATCCAATTAGTAGTGCCAGCTTGGCTCGTGGCTCGAGCTTATCACGCGTGGTTGTCCTTTCTGTTGGTACGTGAGCGTGTACCAGACATCCCCACGTTCGTAGGTAACGCAGCGTGGGCTTCTTTTTATATAGCGCCTCAAATGGAGACATGCCGTCCAGCGCAACTATCGGCAGCTTGTTTACAGTGTCAACAACGTGGAGGAAAGCCTCTCCCCACAGCAACTTAGTCTGGTGCGTAGCATGTAGTACAGCTCGTAGTCGTGGCAGTACGAGCCCATTTGCTCGTTCAACGACACTGTTCTCCTCAGGAGAGTATGCGTTTATGTACTGTGTCTCAATTCCTTTCTTTTCGCAAAACGTCTGAAGATCCTGGCTCTGGAACTCGCCTCCTTGGTCGGAGTGAAGCGTCACCACCTTGTTTCCATCGCGCAAGAACTGTGTGTTCAGACGTAGGATGAGCTTCTTTATCTTGTCAGCGACCTCGTTTTCTCTCTTGAGTAGGTAGCACCATTTGAAACGCGTTGCTTCATCAATCACTAGCATAAACATTGTTTCGCCAGTAACCGTCTCTTGGTTGATTGAGCATAAATCCACTGAGAGTTTCTCTAGAGGATTACGTCGTCGTTCAGGGTTACGCTTGTAAGACATGCGTTTAAATTTAGCTGACAAGCAAGGTACATAGTCGTAACTTGAGATTCGCGTTTACGCCGAAATCGACCTTCTTCGCAGCCATTTCATGATTCATCTGCATGTTAACATGTCCTAGACGTTTGTGAAGTAGACCCATAGCTTCTTACGAGCCTCCACAGCTCCACAGCGAAGTCGGTACAGCTTGTCATAACGATCGAAGCGCAGCTTCATCGTGCTCTTTGTCAGCCAGACGACACGCTGGTCGTCGCTGAGCGACACTGCAAATCCGCAGGCTTGCATGTATCTGAGACTTATCAGGTTGACATGAGCGTTAGGAGAATAGTGAACTTCGTCAAGGCGGCGAGGCTCCCACTGGCGTTCAGAGTCTCCGTCTGTCCTAGGGCCATGCTCAGCTCTTCAGAGCTACCGTGTTGAATGTAAGAAAAGCATGACAGATCTCCACAAAGGCTCACTTGTGAGCCGCTGTCAAGCAGCCACTCCGTCTCATCTGTCGCAACGTCGTGAAGCCTATCTTCCTCTTGATTGGTTAGAACCATTGCCACCAAACCTCCACGTGAACCGGTTGGAGATGGTGGCGGCGAATGTTGCTGGTTAGATGTCGATTGGTCCTCAACACGACGCGCGTTCTCTGGAGCCGGGCGCTTTGTCTCCAACTCTTCCTGTAGCTGCGCAGCAGCTCGTTCATCCAGCACTTCGCGTATTTCATCGAACGTGTACCCTGCCGCAGGAGGGACACTCGTCTCAGGACGTACAAATACTCCGCCAGCAAATGATTGCATGCGTGCTTCTTCTTGTTCACTGTTGCCATCGGCTTGTTGAGAAGTGTTTTTGCACAGTCCATCATCTCTCCAATGCCCTTTTTCACCGCAGGCAGAGCACCGGGAATTCTTCTTTCTCTTAGCTATGGACTTAGCCTTAGCACTCGCGGTAGACGACACACTTGATACAGATCGGCTACGGTTTCCAACGTACCTGCCACCTCGCTGGTATGGCTTCTTGCTCCTGCTCCTTCCGCCACGCTGGACGAAATTGGCTTGCTGTGGCCTTCCGCTGGATAGGCCGCGACTTCCACGTGGCGAATTCTGATGCTGCTCGCGGGCATGCGCAGTCATCTCTGCATTCACCAACTCTGCACGCGAATCATAGATGGTGAAGTCCGTGGCTTGAATTCCACGACGCGTGACGTCGTCCGTAATCTTCGGATACACTCTCATAGCATTGGTCAACATCAACCGCGCTACGCGATGATCTGGAATAGGGTCATTGTTTTCAGCAAGGATGCGCTGCATCCGTTGGAGATCATTAATATACTGCTCCATTGTTTCGTCTGACTGTAACTTGCGTGTACAGGTCGGCTCACACTATGTCTGTGTTCACTCCAGGACCACGGCCAAAATCACAGTAGATACGGTCCCAAAGCAGCACGGGGTCCGCCTTGAGCACAATGTCATCGTAGCGTAGTAGTACTTCATCAGAAATGGAAGCCACTAGCAATCATTGGGCCTTACGGGCACGAACGTCGTAGCAGTTCTTCTGAGCACGAGACATTCTATCGTCGTAACGTTCGTTTCCTTGAACGAGTTGCTCCAGTCGTGACATGGCTAGCCCAGCCATGACACGCATTCTCCACGCAGGATACTCTGACGGCTGGGAGAGCTTATTCCCAACGTCGAACTTCGTAACTGACTCAATCTTGGGCATTGCTGACGTCTGATCGTCCTTCTCGCTGGCAAGGTCGACGTCACTCGTAGGTGTATGAGTTGAATACGCGGCCGAGGCTTAGCCGTAATTCTGTGCGCGCGGCGGCACAAAAGTAGTCTGTTGCCGCCCCCAATAGATCTGTGGTCCAGGCAGCCGAAGTCTTTCTGAGGTCTGAACTGGTTCGTTGGCTGTCGAGCGTTGGACAGGTAACGAGGTAGCCAATGGCGTGCCAGGACTGCTGTTCGCTCTTAGCACGGCGGCTGCAAGCTGAGATTGTGACGCGGGCAAGCTAGCCAATCCGTGACCTTGCGTTGGCTGGCGCTCAAGTTCAACTTGAGTTTCTGCCAATCGGTCAGTAGAACTGGCCTCCGTCACTGCAGGTGTCCCAGTAGGCTTTGGGCTCTTAACCTGAGACGAGGCGTTGTCAGTGGACTTGTCAGCAGAGGAATCCATGACGCCTCGACCCTGTTACATTGCTGCTTGCTGCAGCAAGGGAAATACTACTGGACACCGGTGTGCAAGGCGCAGCCTTACAGGGACTTGAAGATGGCTTGGCGAGCTCGAGGTAAGTTCGGGAGTGAGCTGTCAAGCCCAGTGCGTTCCGTTTGAGTGCCTTCGACGCTCCTCTCAACCCGTGCGAGTAATATAAGGTCGTTACCTAACTGTGCTGCAGCTTTGCTAACGGACGAGCAGCGGCAGCGGCATCGTCTCGGCAACGGCAGCGTCCGTTGCGGAACCAACTCGCACAGCAACGGTAGCATCCGATGCTTTCACTGCAGCGCCGCTGCAGGATGAGATGGCGTGGCGTCTTGTCCAGGCTTCACCGGCAGCGTTACTGGCAGCAAGACGCGATGTCTTGCTCAGGCTGAGCTTGGCGGCGTTACTGGCGACAGTCCACGCGGTGTCCCATCCGGGCTTCGCTGGCCACGTTACCGGCATGGGGCACTCATGAGTCTGCAGTGATGACGGCGCGTCGGACTCCATGCCTTGGCTGCATCCAGGCGAGAGCACGGCGCAGCGCACCTGCTTCTTCTCGTACACAGTACGGTTCGACGACGGCGCGTCGGATCTCGAGCCTTAGAAACCAGTAGGCAGGACGCAGGAGCGATGTGGAGCACAGCTCGCTTCCTGCTCCAAGTACGGTAGAAGATCACGGTCACCGAGAGCATAGTGCTGCGCACTTGCAGCTCACGTACGGCAGTACGTCACACGCGATCCAGTCGCCCTCCAAACATATCAGGCTCACCGGCAAAACGCCAACCGCCACAGAGGCGTGACTCGACCGCTCACTGTAAAGGCGGCCGCTAGACGCTTTTTTGCTTCTTGAACCTTATCTTTTGGTGTTTCGACAATATAGGGATAGCTCAAGATTTGATTGAGAATTACAGGGGATATATTACTCGTGTCTGCGCGGTCGAACTTTGGTTTGATTGGTTTTGACCAATCAAGCTACAGCCGCAAATTAATGCAAAACGCGGCATGATGCCGCGTTATTGCTTAAAGCTAGTTTACGCAACGTGAAAACGAAACAAAAAACCAAAATAATCTACAGGACTGCACCCCGTTTTCGCGTTGTTGGACCTTTGATAAGCTTCCGGATGTGATGATGCTAAAAAGCTGAGTTATTTGCAAATTCTATATGATCCACCCCCGCGAAAACGGGGTACCGGAAAACGCATGCACTATGCAGCGTTTTTGTGATTTATCTTAAATAAACTAAAGGGTCTCACAAATACTACTGTAGTAGATTTGTATGGGCAACTAAGGGGTTAAGTATCATTTGTTTACCCATATTATATGGAATCTGTTATACTATTATAATTTAATAGAACATATATGACATGTACAATGTTAGTACACTGATACTACGTAGTAGTAGTTTCGCAAAACAAAAGTAGTAGAGCCACAGAATGCTACTTGTACAGTATTTTAAAGGCACCAGTGTTTATTAAGTAGTACTAACATTAATTGTATCATTTTGAACACATCTCAAGGAGTAACGTTTCAGCAGCAGTTTTTTTTTCTTACTCGTCTACCTAGAGCTGTAAGTGCAAGTGTCCTGTGGATCCGAAATCTTTCGGACCGTATCCGTAATAGCGAAGAAGTAAGCGTGCTCCTGAATATCCAAGTTTTCCAGTATCGATGATTCATCAGCAGCCGCTAGCGCTAATTGGCTTGCCGCCTCGATAAACGTCATCGCATCAAGTTCATCGTAGCTCAATCCCGTCATTTCCACAAATTTTCGAATACGATAATCACGAGGTAGTTTCCCTACAGTGACGCCTTCAGGAGATTTCACGGTCTCCTCGTCAACAACCTCCGCGTTAAGCTCTGGGTCCGACGTCATACTTCGACGATTCCAGTTTGCCGAGCCAACGGACAAATACACGTCGTCAATGATCACGACTTTACTGTGCAGCATGAGGTTCCGGTCTGCCTTGGTCGTGTAGATCTTGAACTTGTTGGGAAACTTCTCTCGGATTGGTGAAACCATCTCGTACAGGTATTTAATATATCCTGCGTTTGAGAACGGGCTTGTTTGAGGATTGGCAAAAACAATCAAGCGCTGGATCTTGGGCATGACTTCCATGATAGCGTCCATAAGTTCCGGTACATAAATAAAATACTGGTCTTCGATAAAGATGAAGTTCTTCGCGTTCTTGATGGCCTTGATACGTGCGTGGAAGAGCGAATTCTCTCCCCGAGGAGCAAATTCCTTGTAGTGTTTGTAGGTGCAGCTGAATGTTCTCGTGATCTGGACACTCTGTTTGCCGAATTTGCCAGTGGTATTGCTACTGGCGTACTTCATCTGTGGGATGTGTTCGTATGACGGGTTCTCGAAGTCCATCACGTCGTCCTCAATACTTTGGCTAGGCAGGTAGTCGGAGTTCCACCGTGGAATAAAGTTGTTCGCCACATCTTTCGCTGCAGGCCCGTGAATGCGAATGTGGCCGTCAATCCACCCTTGGACCTTAAACGTAATTCCGCTTGCATCGCGAATAGCCGAGTTATTGTGGTCGATAGTATCCCACCGGTCGGTTGCTAGATCCAATCCACCCACGTAAGCCACTGGCTGCTCCTCACTACCTGAGGCGTTGTCGGACAAGATAACCATAGTTTTCTGGTGGTAAGACGACACCATAGTCGGGAGGCGGTCGTCGAACAGAAGAACTGCTTTGGCCCCATTTATTGGAGATACTGGAATGGCGTTGATAGCATCGCGAGCCTTGAGATTGAAGTATCTGTACTTCAGATTCTGCCAGTTGAGGATGTTGATATTACCTCCGCGCTTCACAACATCCGTGAGCACTTTGCCAACTCCTGTCGTAGCGCCTGTAGGGTCGATATCCGGTTTTAATGGGATCAGGGCTGTAGCGTACGCCGAAAGTAGTACTCGATCTCCTTCCTTCGTCTTTGTCAGGTCCTCGTAAACCGAGTCGTAGAAATCTTTCGTAACTGTGAAGGATGTCACCGCGTTGCCTGTCGTGTAGGCCGCTAAATCGCTGCGTGGGATGCCGCCTCGCGAATCGGTGATTTCCTTTTCGGTGAGGAACCAGTCTGTTGCTTTAAGGAGAGGCTGCCGGACTTTGATGTCCGTTCCATCGGATAAATCCGCTTCGGTTGCCGGGGTATCATCGGTGCCAAACACCGAAAATGCCGATGAAGTCGTAGATGCCGCTATCGCGTAAATGAAGAAGAGTACAAGCATGTGGCGTGTGCGCTTCCAGATATCAGTAGCTGGTCAAGGCAATGCGGCGAATTTTTGATTTTGATCGACTCGGAGCTCAATTATTAAATTCAGATGTTATTCGAAGTAAAGTACGTAGCCACCGGCTCTTTCTTCAAAAGGATTAAAGTATACCGCAGGCAAAGGATCTGGTTCTGGTCATTGGATGGGAAATTGGGAAAACAGGGGAGACGATAATCACAGAACCCCCAAACTTATTCACAGGTCGCCCCCGCATGCAGGGGCTAATGGTAACCAAATATCATATGATATTTTTGATAGAAATAGTACTATTTTTGATATTAAATAGTAATAGTAGCTCATTTTTGCAGAAGCTAACATAATATTTTAATATTAACTCGGAGAGCTGAAAAATATTAGATACTACATGATATTTTATGATATTTTCCACTTAAGTACGTTTCTTGCCACCTTACCCTGTGGACCGAGCGGAGCCAAATAACTTTTTCGATCAGGTTCTAGAAAAGCAGTAGGCTTTAAGACTGACGAGTATTTGCTCTTGTATTTCACTGTGACACAGACAAAGACGATCGAGATGGAAAACTGCAAACGCTTGCAGCTGTTTAACGTTGATAGAGCGAAATCAAGACATTTGCTCTTGTTCTCTACCGATCTCCTCGTCCACATCGTGCGTCTAGTAAACCTGCTGCCTGTGGCGCTAGATTAATGCGCTCAGCAGTGCCAACACACGACGCCAACCTTGCCGCCACTCTCACAATTGTCCCTCCCTCACGCTAGTCGAGCGTTAACGTCATCTGATTAGTTAATTTAGCCCGACTACGCAATCTTTGAAAAATATAATATCGTATTAACTAATAACAAGTTGATATTTAATAATATCATATTGTCTCAGAAGAAAATATTAGTTATTCTTTTTTATATTAGCTGGTCTACAGGTGATATTTTTACAATATTAACTTCACCGATTTTGGAGTTACCATTAACCCCTGCCCGCATGGTTTTGCGATTGGACAGCAGAACCAGCCCCATTATAACATGTATTATATTAATAATAATAATAAGTGAGTAGTGTTCACAATAGGATATCAGAACAGTATACCGTACTACTGCAAGCTCCGCAGCATACCATGGCTTCATTCATTATCTCCCCCCCCCGCGGCATCGTCTCACAAAGGTGCCTGGCGAACCGCAAGAATACACTGCTATTAATACTGCTCCTGAAACGCACGCACAACTTCACTCTGAGCTGCGTTTGAAATGAATGCGGAATAAGCATCTGCGGGACTAAGAAGTATTTGCGGCACTATTCCACGAATTGGCTGTCTTAGCCGCATTTTAAACTCAGTGTAGCAAGAAAAGCTAAGTAGAATTGATAGTAAACATTTAATGTGGATTCATAAGATTCACGTTTACTAGCGCAAGGTAAGTTGAATCGAGGGTCAATGCGGTTTAACTTGCGCGAGTCGTTCAATTTAAATTAACGCATTTCGATATCTATCCAGTTGATCTAAAAGATTCAGTCTTTAAAGATCAAAAAGGGTGATCTGTGAATAAGTATGGGGGTTCTGTGATTAGTGATCGATGATGATGTACAATTTACATCAGGTACATGATGTTTTAATCAAACTGGCGAAAACTACGTCAAATTTAAGTGCAAAGCTTTCGAATTCCTTGACAAAACTATATATTTCTACAGGTTATGTTGTCTCAGTAAACTGTAGCTCAGTTAAATTAAATAGAAAATCGACGGCAATTTTCAGTGAAGGAAAAATTGTTCTCAAGAATTAGCCAGAGGGGCAGAAGCAGATGGATATCGGTATTTCGGTCCGTTAAAACTACTGGGCGGTTGTCGCAATGAGCGGTACACGCAGACGTCGCATGAAAGAAGAAATAAAAAGGTACCCTCCCTCCATTCCTTTGCTGGGTTTCCAGTCGGTACTATTATATGCTCATTCAACCTGCCTTCATGGCCTGACACCAGTAAGTTACTTACAAAAAAGGCTGGTTCCTGCTTAGTATCCATTGGGTACTAAGCAGGAGCCAGCCTTTTTTGTGGATACTATCCAATAAATACATGTACTACTGTACTGTATCCATTCTATATGCTGTACATTGCGGCAAAGCAACTTGCTGAGCAAGTAGAGCAAGGCAACAGCGCTCTTTAATAATCTTTGGCAACGCATTATTTATTAATAAAAGATTCACTCTAAACTGAGAAATCGTGTCCACGCGTGCCTATTCTTACGCAGCCGGTGCAGAATCACAAAAAAACTAAATTTTCTACCCCACAGCAGAAAACGGAATTTGGACTCGTAGCTCTCATTTTGCCTTGTGAAATAAGCCGAACGCGAATGTCCGACACAGAAGTTCCCACTGAGTCGGCTGCTACTTCAGCCGCGCAAGATGATGAACCGGAAACTTTTGAGCGCAGAACCAAGAGCACCACCTTTTTCCATGGTATCAACCTCCGAACACAGCCGGTTCTAACCAAGCGAGGCAGGAAAACTGGCAAAATTGTATCGCGGGTTTTCGTCATCTTAGAAGGTGCCCATGGAGGTTAAAAGATCCGGTTGTTCTTGTTGAAGACTAACATTGAAGCAAGATGCGTAGGATACCTCTTTTACTTTCAACATCCAGCCGCCACGGCACCGTGTGGGGTCCTCGCACTGCAAAATGCTGAATATTTTGTGCATTCCTATGCATCATCAGCATTGCTAGGGAACTTTTGCATTGAGCTACGATCTCCTTTGCGAGCATGGGGTACGTCGACCAGGTTTTGGTTGTTTAGTACCTATTACTGATAACGTTACGTCTCAATTGCTCTACTTCATTACTAAAACTCTGATGCAGGTACTTTAATCCTCCATTTCCATGGGTACACGCCAATGGCAGTCCATGAAATCAAGCAAATGATGAACGCTGCAGGAGCACATCCCCGTCGTAACCAGTTTGACAAGAATGGTATTGAGATTGAAAATAGTCGTCGCAGTACCAAACAACGGAGGCCTTCGCGGTTGATCACATTGTCTGGCATTTCTAGTTTCATTCCACAATGGGCTCGTCGGAATGGAAGCAAGCGCATCAGTATCCATGATCGCGGCGAAGAAGACAGTGTGGTGATGCTGGAAACCGAGACAGAGTTTGATCCTGACGAAGATGCAAACACCGCCACTAGTGCTGATAGTAACACTGTTGTCTGTCGCGTCATAAAGGGAACACGAACGAGTCTTCTCAAAGTGAACTTACGGAGCACCAGCACAGCAAATGAGTCAACAGATTGTAGTAGAAGCCTTAAGCGTCCCACCAGTCCTCAGGTTCTTCAGCTCTATCAAAACACCCGACTATCGTTTACACAACGGGGACAACCACGTCGACACCTCAGTTTAGATGAACAAGAAGAACTCGTTGCTGAGCAAGACATCAGTCCAGAGCATTGCCATGAACTGTGTGTAAACGGCTTTGTGGAGAATGCTGGTCGGAGCCTCTTTCACTTTATCTGGCCTTGGGAAGGACTCCAGCAGCTTCGCCCTACCCGTGGTGGACAGAGCGACGCGGCACTACGTTTGTCGGTAGTGGTGCCAAGCGCGAACCAGATGGCTCCAGGTCCACGTATTCGCTTCGTATCTGCTTTTGAGCCACCCCGACAATTCGATCCCGCCACCATGGCCATGATGCGACAATGGGCTTCACCACAGCAGCAGCAACATCAAAGACTGGTGATTTGTGCGGCCGAAGTCCAGTCTGTTGGGGCTGTAAGTACTGCAGTATCCGCTGAGCGTTCTGTCAGCATCAGCGACAACACTATACGAAGAAACAGCATCAACGTTGCCAGTCTCCAGCTAGCATTGACTCTACTTCAAAACAGTGAGACCCAAACTCCTGCCGCAGTAACTCCACTCGTACTGCTATCCAATGAGTCAAAGTCTACAAGTCTTTCTCTAAAGATTATTCCACGCAACTCAACCTCCGCTACGAGTCCTCCGAAGTTTGCGGGCAGTCCACCAACAGTTTCCAGTCGGATACCTTCGCCAACGTCACTGATGACGAACGCAAAGGCTATAGCACATCGTACAGCGTCTCCCGTGACTCCACCCGCTCCATTGTCGCCTACCGCTGTAAAAGTTGTTAATCCGCCATCGCCAGCGAAGAGAGGGCCAGCTCCAGCAGCCTCCGCTCCAGTCAATACGGACATTCAGAGAGCAGATCCCGCCCTACCGACGGGTACACAAGGTGAGGAAAGTTCAGCAGAACACGGATCATCGGGGGACCCCCTCCGTTAGTCGGTGTCTGGGCGCAGTTGGTAAGTTGGATCTGGCAATCTCGCAGATTTTGCTGATCCCGCTACACCACAGCTGCTTGACGAAGATATCTACATGGTGCAACCGGATGGTTACACGGATGAAGAACATCCTGACCATGTCTGCCATCTCAAGCAGCGTCGCTCTACGGTCTTAAGCAGTCGCCACGAATGTGGAACC